ATTGATTCAGTGACTGGGATAATTGGGATGGGAGTGTCAGAGACAGTGCGATTGGCACAGGACAGAGCGGAGCTTAGGGCTGTTGTACACAGGGTTGCTATGAGTTGCAGGTGACTCGACGGCACATAACAACAACAACAACAATTCAAGGCAGCAGTCTTCCTGAGGCCGGCTTCGGCAATGTCCTTCATCTTTGCCAGAACCATGAACAACTGACGAACCTACTTATCCTCACCGTAGCCTGCATTCTCCATTGTATTTCAGTCTGGTTCTCATTCCTTTGTAATAAGACCTGTCTCTTCAGGAGGAAACTTTAAATAACTTGTCTTTATTCTTTGTCTCTTGAAATTTCACAATGACAAGTTTCTGTGGAAGATCTCTTTTATTCAGCCTGCTGGACACTTTCAATATGAAGACTTAACATCTTTGCTTTTTTTACATTTTCTTCTGTCATTTATTTTATTCTTTTTAAAGATTTGTTTTAAAACTTATCTCAATATTTCTTCTCTTTTCTTTTACTTTCTGGAAGATTCTTATTTTATGATCTTGGCTTAGGGGTAAGGAATTGTACTGCCAAAGCAAAGGTATGCAATTTGAATCCATCAACTGCTCAGTGTGGGAGACAGATGGGTTATCTCCCTTGTGATTTCCTGCCTCTAAAAACCAGCTGGAGGACCAGCTGTGTGTCAGTTCTGACTCAACAACAATGCTATTACTGATTTTCGCTATTTGATCTTACCTTCTACAACTTTACTTTGGCAACCAGAATCCCAATTTCTTCTTCTAATTGTTCTTTTTTTTCAAGTGGTAATAATCACTACTCAGATAAACCCCGCTGGCTACAATATTGCCACTGTGCAAAGTGATTTGGTTCGTTTTCAAATAATCTTATTGACTTAGTGAGAGGTATCTTCTTGAAGATCAATGATAAAGCAAATTGGAGTTTTTAGAAATTCTCTTTGGTTCTAAGAATTAACTTTTGTAAGATTATTAATTTGTCTTTTCATGTGTCAGATTTTCCTTAAATACCTGTTCACCTCAAATTTTCCACAAAAAGAAAGAGAAATACAACTGTGAGCTCTGTGCATTTTCAGGTGACTGAGGGCTGAATCAGCCACTGTAAGATTCTTGAGAGGCCTAAATTGAGTGGCCGTTGCTTTGGCATATCAGAAGATTGTTGATTTCAGAGGACCCTGAGGATTTTTGAGCAAGTATATACATACCTGGCAGAGATCGATTTACATAGCCATTAACTGTGTACATTTTAGGCCAGGGCCTAGTAGATGTAAAGTCTGCATCTTGAGCCAAAGATCCATTTGCTTCTGCGTGCCAGCTTTTTCCTGATAACAGAGGAGACAAAAGCAGGTAAGTGTCTCCTGGTTGGCGGAGACAATCCTTCCTGTGGTGAGGATTACTCACACCTTAACAATGTTTTCAGTAAAGTGGGCGGAGAAGACATAACTTCTCAAAGTTATTGAGAGGCAGAAAGAAAATAACAACCCAAGGGCAAAAAGGAAACAAAGATGCTGTTGTCCCATTAAGTCAGGTGACCTTCCAGTGGGTTTTCAGAGGCAGGTGATCGAACAGGAGCAACTGGTGGGCCTATGATTCTGAGATGGAAGCTCAGTTCCTTACCTTTAAGCCACCAGAGCGCCCCAAAAGATTACAGCCTAAAGATTACAACCAAAGAAATCCTGTGAGGCACAAAAGAACAACCACCCAGACTTGAGGTTCCCTTTAAGCAGAAAGAGAAAGTGAAGAGGGAGAAAGTCTTTCTGAGAAAAGAGAACAACATTAGCATGACAATAACATGTTCCCTTTAGCTTCTATAATAATACAGTCAAGGAACAGAAACACTAAATACAGGAGAAATAATGGATTCCTCCCTTCAAAAGACAAGTGTAGAAGAGGAAGAGGAAGAGAAGATCACAGTATTGCTGCTGCTGTTGGGGACAATAACGCCACTGCTCAAGCATTTGTATTGATTTCTTCTTCAGAGTAACACGACTAAAAAGGACTGTCATTATCTCAGTTTTTAATTTGAGGAAGTTATGTCAAGTAACTTCCCAAAGGCTGCATTCTAAGTAAGAAAGAAGCTAAATTATTGAGAAAATGGGAGCTCCGGTGGTCTAGCAGGTAAGGAATTGTGTTGCCAATCCAAAAGCAGGCAGTTTGGATCTGTCAGCTGCTCCACTAGAGAAAAACTGTTATCTCTTCCCATGGGATTTACAGCCTCTGAAAACCCAGTTCTGACTTGATGGCACATAATAACAACATTGAGAAAATAGAGCTGAATACTTGACTGATAAATTCAATGAGGGAGATGAGGCCAACTTGTTACCCAATCCTCCTGTCCTTATTTTTTATAAAGTATAACCTTGATTACATTTTTTTCCCTTCAAATTAAATTGTACCATAAATTGTAGCTTATAATCTTTCTAGAATCACCTCTTCTGGATGATAATATCCCATAATATCAATTATTGGATTGTTAATATATTTTTATCAAAAGTCCAAAATGAAAATTGAAGCTCACTAACCTTCATCAAATACAGCAAAAAGTATCACAAATTCATACAAGGTTTGTGTCCTGTCTTTGGCCAGACTCCCTGAAAAAGAAGTAAAGGGATTTACGTTCTATTAAAAAATCCAATATGCATTCATTGTTTTTTCACATTGTGTAATACCCTACTATGTGCATGTACCATAGTTTCTCTATCCATTGCTTAGGTTTCCATCTCCTTGCTATTGTTAACGATTCTGCAACAAGCATGAGTATGCATATCTATTTGTTTCACAGATCTCATTTATCTAGAATATATGCCTAGTAGCAGAATAGCTCCACTCCCTGGAAAGGGCCATCATGCTTGGAAAGGTGGTGGGTTATCAAAAGAGAGGGAGCCCTCCAATGAGATGGATTGACACAGTGACTGAAGCAATGGGCTCAAGTGTGTCAGAGATGATGATGGCACAGGATAGGACAGAGTTCAGGTCTGTTGTTTGTAGAGTCGCTATGGATTGTACTTGACACAACAGCACCTAACAATAACAGCAACATTTGGAATAGCTGAAGCAAATGATGTTTCCATTGTCAGTCACAAAAGAGCAAATATTGGATAAGTCCGTCAGTCCAAAAAGCTAAAATTATTTATATACCAATCAAATCTGTCTAGTACTGTTACCAGTGGCCAAGTGGCAAGAAACTCTGCTGCAATTCTAAAGGTATATGGTTTGAATCCACCAGCTGCTCTGTGGGAGAAAGATAGGCAATTTCCTCTGGTGTGATTTATTGCCGCTGAAAACCCACTGGAAGATCAGCTATGAGTTGGTTCTGACTTGACAGTATACAACAACAGTTTTCAGTGAAGGGGGGAAAAAAAGAGAGAACAGAAAATTAAAAAATAGACGATGGACACTAATTGATACAAACATCCATTAGTAACTGGAACATGGAATGTACGAAGTATGAATCCAGGCAAATTAGAAGTTGTCAAAAGTGAAACCGAACACATAAATATCAGCATTCTAGACCTCAGTGAGTAGAGATGGACTGGTATTGGCCATTTTGAATCAGATACGATCTATATGTCTGAAGAGGCATAGGGTTGCTCATCATCAAAAAGAACACATCAGGATCTGCCCTGAAGTAGAAACTGTGAGTGAGAAGATAGTAGCCATACCCATACTATTCAAATGGATGCACTAACCATGAAAACTAAAGACAAAGGAATTCAGGATTTCTACCAACTTTTGCAGTCTTAAATTAATTGAACATGTAAGCAAGATGCACTAATATAAATTGGTGAGTGCAATGCCAATAGGGAGTTCTGGAGGTCTAGTTTGTAGGAAGTTGGACTGCCAACCCAAAGGCAGGTAGTTGAATCCACCAGCAGCTCCAAGGCAGAGAGATGGGTATTCTCTTCCTGTCCTATTCTGTTAGGTTGTTAGGTGCCGTTGAGTCAAGTACAACCCATAGCGATGCTATGAACAACAGATCTGAACCCTGTCCTGTGTCATCTTCACACTTCCTGACACAATAGAGCCCACTGTGGCAGTCCACCTGGTTAAGGGCCTTCCTCTCTTTCACCGACTATCCACCCTTCCCAACATGTTCCTCTTTAAGGAACAGCCTCTCCTAGCAATATGCTCAAAGTATGTGAGATGAATCTTCATTATCCTTGCCTCCAAAAAGCACTCTGGCTGCCCTTTCTCCAAGACATATTTGTTCTTTTGGTAGGCCGTGGGATGTTCAGTGCTCTACTCCAGCACCACAGTTCAAAGGCATCAATTCTTCTTCTTCCACCCCCCCCATTCATTCATTGTTGCACTATTCTCCCCTCCCAACCCTCCCCCCTAGTACACTCCCCTCTTGGAAAAGCAAAAGAAAAATTCTTTCATTGTTTTACAATCCCTCCCCCAGGTCCACTCCACCACGTAGCCTTCACTCTGGACTCCTGTTATGACAAAAATCCCTAATAATTTTCCCTCTTAAACAGTTTTCTCCCTCGTCTGTTTCAGTGCAGTATACATTATTGAACCCATCCTTCTCAGTCTCCTCCCAACCCCAAGGCCAGTCCTGATTTACAACAGTGGCATCATGCAGTTTTTGTCCTTTTGTGACTGAGATACTTCACTCAGCATAATGTCCTCCAGGGTCACCCATTTTGAATAATATTGCATGAGTTCCTTGTTTTTCAATGCAGTGTAGTATTCTATTGTGTGAATATACCACAGCTTCTCTATCCATTCATTTGTTGATGGGCACTTAGGTAGTTTTCAACTCCTTGCTATTGTGAACAAAGACGCAATAAACATGGGTGTGCATATATCTGCTTGGATGTTATGGTCTCTTTGGGGTATATTCTCAGTAGTGGAATTGCTGGGTCGAATGGTATCTCTATTTGCAACTTTTTGAGAAAGCACCATATTGCCTTCCATAGTGGTTGCAGCATTTTACACTCCCACCAACAGTGAATAAGGGTTCCAGTTTCTCCACAACCTTGCCAGCATCTGTTGCTTGCTGTTCTGTTAAATTTTGCTATTCTGACTGGGGTGAGATGATATCTCATAGTGGCTTTGATTTGCATCTTAGAGCTAGGGATTTTGAACATTTCTTCATGTGCTTGTTAGTCATCTGAATGTCTTCTTCGGTGAAGTGTCTGTTCATATCCTGTGCCCATTTTTCTATTGGATTATTTACCTTTATCTTGTTGTGGTGCAATTCTTCTTCTGTCATACTTATTCACTGCCCAGCTCCCAGATGCACAACAAGTGACTGGAAAGATCATGGCCTGAATCAGATGCACCTTACTCCTCAAAATGACATGATTACTCCTCAGTAATTTGGAGAAGTTTCTAACTGCAGAATTTCACAGTGCAATAAGTCTCCTGAAATCTTTGTTTTCAGATACAATCCATATTAAAGGCTGTATTCTTTGATCTTCCGCAACAAGTGCTGCAAGCTCTCCTCACTTTCAGTAAGCAAGGTCGTGTCATCTGCATAACAATGCAGGTTACTGATGAGTCTCCGTCTGATGATGCCACACTCCTCTTCATAAAGTCCAGCTTAACAAATAATTTGGTCAGCATACAGATTGAATAGGTGTGGAGAGAGAATATAACCCTGATGAACATCCTTTTTAATTTGAAGCCATGTAGTGTTTCCCTGCCCAACAGCCTCCCAATCTAGGTATATTGTTTCACGTGAGTTCAATTAAGTGCTCTGGGACTTCCATTCTTCTCAATATCAGCTATAACTTGTTATGATCCACTCAGGCAAATGCCTTTGCATAGTCAATAAAACACAAATAGACCTTCTGCTATTCTCTACTTTCAGCCAGGATCCATCTGACATCAGCAATGATCTCCCTGGTGCCATGGTGTCTTCTAAATTCTACTTGAACTGCTGGTGGTTCCCTATATATGTACTGCTCTAGCCTTTTTTTAATGATCCTCAGTAGTATTTTGCTTGCATGTGATATTAATGATATTGTTCAAAAGTTTCAACTCATCTGGATCACCTTTCTTGGGAATGAGAACACATATGGACCTCTTCCAATCTGTTGGTTAGACAACTGTCCTCCAAGTTTCCTGGCACAGACTGATGAGCGCATCTAGGGCTGCATCTGTTAACTGCGAAAAGTCAATTGACATCCCATTGATTCCTGGGGCCTTATTTTTTGCCAATGCTTCAATGCAGCTTCAAATTCCTCCTTCATTGCCATTGGCTCTTGCTCATGTGGTATTTTCTGAAATTCTTCAGTGTCAATCAGTTCTTTCTGGTACAGCGACTCTGTGTATTCCTTACATCTTTTGATGCTTTATGGGTCATTCAATAAATTGATCATAGCATCTTTAAATATTGTGACTTCAGGCTCCAATTTGTTTTCCAGTTCTTTCAGCTTAAGAAATGAAGAGCAAGCTCTTCCCTTTTTATTCCTAATTCCAGCTCTCTGCACATTTCATTATAATACTTGGTGCTATCTTATTGAGATGCCCTTTGAAACCTTCTGTTCAACTCTTTTAATTTGGCATCTTTTTCCCCTTAGTTTTGGTTTCTTAACACTGTAGTGCAATTTTTAGAGTCTCTTCTGACATCTATTTCAAAGATCTATGTTATTTACAGCCTCTGAAAACATTCTGGAGAGTCAGCTAGGAGTTGGTTCCAACTGCATGGCAATGACTGAGTGTGGAATGCCAAAGGTGGAAACAAAGAAGACTAATAGCTGGAAATTATGGTCACGATGACAAAAATGAGGCCAGAAATTACATGATATGATTTTGGTTCTTTTGTTTAACAGCTGATTTAATTTTATTTCAAAATTGTACAAAATGGCCATATGTGGCTATAAAAAAATGTTGTCTCCACAACGTGTAATTCAGGAAGAACAACAAAGTAAGTATCATTCACAGTGTAATGGAAAAGCTCTCTCTGAGGCAGAAATTACAACTCGTCTTTCTTCTTCCCCAGCCTCTCCCTCTTAGAGGATTCGAGTAAAATTGGTAAATCCCAATTCTGTCCGCTTGCTGCCATACTTTTCTATAAACTTCCCATAATGGTAGTAGTGGAAAGTGGGGTAGGCTTTGATGGCCTCCTGCTGACATAGATCCTGGCTCCTACCTTTGACACAGTCCACAGATGCACAGGCAATTTTGCGGTAGTCGTTGAAGGCATCAGCTGTGGCGATAAAGAACAGAATGGCATGATATGATTTTGCGAAACAGCACATCAGCAGAGGACTGCCAGAAGTCCAGGCTGGGTTTAGAAGGTGTCGTGGTATTAGGGATATTGTAGCTGATGTTAGATGGATCTTAGCTGAAAGCAGGGAATACCAGAGGAATGTTTATCTGTGTTTCATTGATTATGTAAAGGCGTTTGACTGTGTGGATCATAACAAACTGTGGCTGACTCTGAGAAGAATGGGAATCCTAGAACACTTGATCATGCTAATGCGAAACCTATACTTGGAGCAAGATGCAGTCGTCAGAACAGAGAAGGCAAACACTGCATGGTTCAAAACTGGGAAAGGTGTACGCCAGGGCTGTGTCCTATCTCCATACCTTTTCAACCTGTATGCAGAGCATATTATGCGAGAGTCTGGGCTCTATG